TCGTGGCGAAGGAAATCGATTTGTGCCAGGTCCTTGATCTGCATGTTGAAACTGCTGCACGTGTGAATGTGCCATCGCTAGGCAAGGCTTGGTCAGGGACGGAATGTCCTCGGGCAGGCGAATATTGTAATGGGGTGAATCGTTACATAACAATTTATAAGAAATTGTTAATAGAATATAACTATAAGAGTTATATTCTCAGAATATTGTCATAAGGACAAATATTCTGTAGCACTTACGAGTAGTTCCTAATTGGTTGATATAGGCCATTATATCAACCAACGAAGACGCGCCACGACAGACGCACGCAATGAGTGGCGAGCAGATAGTTGGTATGCACATTTGTATCCAGACATAGTTAGATGAAGATAAATAGTGATTTATTAACAGACATTAACTATTATAAATACAGCTCTACTAATTGCTTTCACCAAGTACACGCTTCGTCTTACCGTCTTCCTCTGCACGTACGAGTGTACGTGAAGTCGCGAGGCACCGCCTTATTCTGTCATCAGAATAAGTAGCTTGTACTGTCATCAGTACAAGCTTCAGGGTGCCCCGTTACAAATATATCTAATGGAAGGAAGACTTGCTATAGTAATAGTGAGATGGCTGGACAAGCTAATTCTGCGAGAAGCAGAACGACAGTGTGCCGATGGGCATAGTAGAGAGACGTCACGTAGCGTTGGTGCGTGAGTACGCGATAGGCTTGCTCAGCTGTTGCAACATAGAGACAGACATGTAGCTCAATGGATACGCTCGTTTGTTGAGTGTCAGGCGTTCGGAGATGTCTAGCACAGCGACCAGTTCTGTAACGGGGCACCCTGAAGCTTGTACTGGTGACAGTACAAGATACTTATTCTGATGACAGAATAAGGCGGTGCCTCGGAACTTCACGTACACTCGTACGTGCAGAGGAAGACGGTAAGAAGAAGCGTGTACTTGGTTAAAGCAATTAGTAGAGCTGTATTTATCATAGTTAATGTCTGTTAATAAATCACTGTTTATCCTCATTTAACTATGTCTAAATACAAATGTGTAAATCAGTTATCTGCTCACCACTCATTGCGTGCGTCTGTCGTGGCGCGTCTTCGTTGGTTGATATAATGGCCTATATCAACCAATTAGGAACTACTCGTAAGTGCTCCAGAATATTTGTCCTTATGACAATATTCTGAGAATCTAACTCTTATAGTTATATTCTATTACCAATTTCTTATAAATTGTTATGTAACGATTCACCCCGTTACATCACCCCCCCCCTTAACCATCATTCACTTTAGTGACTGATTGACTAAATGGATGCTTGTCCCAAATCATTTGGGACAGGGTTTGCACTTGTCGATCCGAGTCCACTTTCCAACATTTCATCGCATGGTTAACAAGCCCATGCGATGCGCGAGCAAGGCCGCCGAGAGCGCGTCCGCACGTCTCTGTACGGACGTCGAAGCAGAAACCGCAGCAACTGATGTCTCATCGGTTGCTGAAGCGACTCAGCCTGTGTCACCTGGTGATGCAGGCGCTAGTCATGGAGACACTCATGTCTTCACAGAGTATGAGCTCGGTGTCTCATACTCTCCTGATACGGAAGACTGATTCGTATCGACGGCGATCATATCCAAGCCGCCTGCCAAGCGTGGCATGGATGATGCTTTGCGTCGCAGCATCTTTGGTTCATCTGATGAATCAGATGAACCATCGCCGAAGCGGTGGTTCTCGAGGTCGCGAGACTCGGGCGCTCACAGTGGTGTCGGTTCTCCTATTGACACCACTTCGCAGCGAGGTGCCAGTACTTCTGTCGGCACGTCGCAAGAAGAGCGGGACCGCAGTGTGTTGCGTCTCGCTCCCGAGAAGAAGGCATGGGGATGCCTCCTAAATCCGTCATGGATCGCTTGTCGGCGACGATGAGTGATCGTTATCGAACACGGTTGTTCGATTCGTCAAGGATCCATCACCTTGGCCCCAGTGCGAAAAACTATTGCGCTGAGAATGAGTTCTTCATCGATGCTTTCTTTAAACATCGATGGTACAGTGGGAATCACAAACGTGATGGTCCCTCACTGCTTCAGGCGTGGAACGCTTACATCCATAACCTTGAGGATGTAGGTCGTGACGTTTGGAACGGCAAACTTATCAAAGCTCGTGATAAGTTTGAAAAGCGAACCCCGACAGGTGCACGCTATAAGCTGCATCGTCTGTCTGGGGAGAAAGGGTTACCCTGCCTCTCCTGAGGAGACTCGTGTCCATGTTCTGTGAAAAACTCTGTGTGCACACCTAAGGAGGCTTACCTCCTTACTAGCCCGTAGTGGCGCGTATGTATCTCTAGTGATATGTACGAAGGGATTGACAACCTGAAATCCCTTTACGACCGTGCCGGGAAGACTTTCTCCGGCGGTCCTTCTGCGGCACAGGATGTGCCGCGTCGTACTGCACAACCAGACCCAGTACGTCAACCATCAGTTGAGAGCGGGGCTCCCAAGAATCCCAGGACGGGGGATAGCCGCGCCACCGGAAGAGGTAACTCGTCCGACGTCCGTTCACGTCGCGGTGGTTCAACAGCTGCTCAACCAGATAGCGCTGGCCACCGCGAGATTCCTCTAATGGAGGTGGAGGAGGAGGGAAAACGCTCTCCAAACTATCGTGGGGAAGCGTGTGTTCCCGATAGCTTCTTTGATCGCGTAACGCAAGGGTCACGCGGCGATCTAGAACATGAGCGGGACAGGCGTCTCCAACTGGCGGACACTGTCTTGAAGCATCGAGCTGAGTTTGCCTTTGCTCAGCTTGAGAACGAGAGGACTCTGAAGTCTCTGCGTGACGAGCTAAGGGTAGCTCATGCGGAAATGGACCGTTCTCGGGCTGAGATAACTGCTCTTCAGACCCTTGTCGATGGCCACCATCGGGAGCACAAGGCTCTCTGCGAGATGCTTAAACGCAAAGGCGTTCTTCATCGGAAGAAGCAGCGTACTGATGGTACGGCTTAAGCCGACCAACGTAAAACGTGGGATGCGTTCGCATCTTACGTGGCAACTCGATCGTGTATGCGTTGCCTAGGCGATGCAATACACGAAATGGGCCGATGTACTTGGGTAGTAAATTACTACTACCCAAGTTGTCACTACATGCTTTGGTAGGTTAAGCGTAGACAGTAGGACTAAGTCACCCTTATTAAATAAAAGAGTGTTTGCCCTTCCATTCTTGTCAGCGTTTTGCTTTTGCTTATCCACCGCTTCGGCGATGGAATCTTGCACAAAACGGACTACCGTTTCACGAGCCAGTATGAACTCATCTGCTGGCTCGTTAGCTTCAGTGCGCTGTGAGCGCACTGCAGCAACAACAATCTTTTCTTCAGTGAGGGCTTCCGCACTCTCACTGGCATCATCTTCTTCAGTGAGGGCTTCCGCACTCTCACTGGCATCATATTCTTCGATATCGATGTTATCGATATCGGCATCAAACGCAATGACCTCTTCGTCAGAGCGTGATGAGCGTGAACCAAATCGGTTTTTGCTCGCGCGAGTCCCTCCCCCCCTAAAGCAGAGTTACAATCTAGTAAGGTGGGTACACGCGGATGGCGTAAGCCATTCACGTAAAACGGTGTATGTGTCGTGGACGCATGCACCGAGTTGTTAATGGCAAACTCTACCATGGGCAAGAACTCACTCCAACTCTTAAAGGAGTGTACGTATCCTCGAAGTATCTTTTCGAGGACACGATTAGCACGTTCCGTCTGACCATCTGACTTTGGATGATCAGATGTCGACATCTTCAAGCGCGTTTCGAGTGATTTGAATACGGAACGCCAGAAATCAGCAGTGAATCGTGGATCTCTGTCTGATACGAGTTCACGGGGTAACCCATGAAGTCGGAAGATGGTGTCAATAAAGACACAAGCACAGCCACTTGCCGTGATTGACTCTGGTACAGCCACTAGGTGTATCATTTTGCTGAATCTGTCAACAAATACGAGAATACCCGTATTCCCGCGTGCGTCTTTGGGTAACCCGAAGACGAAATCCATTGAGACGGATTCCCATCACTCAGCCGGAACCGTTAGAGGCTGTAAAGGTGCACGCAGTGAAGGACTTGACTTCACTCGTTGACAGACTTCGCATGCGCGAATGTACTTTCGCATAAACTGATACTGGCGGGACCAGTAAAAGTCTCGACTCACCGTGAGATATGTTTTCTCCCGGCCACGATGTCAACCTATAGGAGCATCGTGATACTCGAACATGATCCGCAAACGCAGATCAGTATCGTCTGGAATGACAACACGTGGTGTGTCACCAGAAACGGCTGTATAATACAGTATACCGTTGCAAGTAGTGTATCGATCTGATGCAGATCGATACGCAGACGATAATCGTTTCAACGATTCTCGAGATGGCTGGGAGAGATGTGTCAACAACTTCACTATCTCACCATCTTATGCGTATGCCCGCCTCACATCATCATACAACGTTGTAGATGTTACTGAGGACGTCATAACCGCAACAGTGACTGTCTCACTGTTGGGTTTCGCGACTGTTTCAAAGTCGGGACGACGTGAGAGTGCATCAGCGACGACATTAAGTCGTCCTGGTTTGTACTCGACCGTAAAGTTGTATTCCGCAAAGAATGACAACCACCGCGCCATTCGTTGTGAAAGGTGCGGGCTGTTCACTGCCGTGCGTAATGACGCATGGTCAGTGTAAACAACGAAGGGTCTATCTCCTAATAGACAGACTCTGAACTTCGCGAGTGCATACTTCATGGCAAGGAGTCTCTTGTCATGCACTGGATAGTTCCGCTCAGCTGGTTGCAGCTGACGCGACTGATATCAGACGACGCGTTCAACGCCTTTAGGATCATACTGCATTAATGCACAGCCGATTGCGAAATCGCTGGCATCACAGACCACATGAAATGGCCTGTCCTGATCGGCTATTGCTAGGACTGGTGATTGTATCAAGCTCTGCTTGATACCCTCAAAGGAGCGCTGACATTCAGCGTTCCATAACCACCTCTCTTTCTTATTCAACAAACGAGAGAGATGCACAGTCATCTCGGCGTAATTGCGTGAATACTTGTGCAAATACGCCGCTAGCCCAAGGAATTTTCGAAGACCTTTGACATCAACCGGCACAGGCCAGTCGGTGATCTCCTTGATCTTTTCGGGATCAGGACGTACACCGTTCTTACCAACGATGCACCCAAGAAGTAGTATTTCGCTTGCTGCAAATATACACTTCTTGAGGTTTGCATACAATTGATGCTTTCGCATGATTGTAAGAACCTGTCGGACGTGGTATATGTGAACCTCAACGTCCGACTTTCCATCCATAGCTCGACTATGGATGAATACGTCATCGAAATAACTCGGCGCGAACTCTCGTACTGGTCTCAACAGATGTGATACACATCTGTTGAACGTGGCAGGGGCATTACTGAGCCCTTGTGGCATTACTAGCCATTCCCAGAGCATGCCGCTAGGCGTGCTAACTGCGGTATAGGGTATATCCTGTTCCCGCATTAGGATTTGATAGAAGCCATCCATCAAATCCATGGAAGAAAAGATGGTACTCTTTGACATACCATCAATGATTACGTCCTTCCTTGGTGTCGGCGTCCGAGCCGGTACCGTTGCAGCGTTCAATTTGTTGAGCGCATGCACATTCCGCCACCCTCCAGTTGCTTTTCGCACACAGAAGGTCGGAGAGCTATGTGGGGAAGTTGATTCCCTCACATGGCCCGCAGCTAAACGACGGCAAAGAACTTGTCGATCGCAAGTACTTGTTAACGAGGCAGTGTCCACTGCTTCATGACACAGTACTTCGAGCCTGGTTTAAGCTCGACCTCGTGTCGAGTACCTTTATCTTTCGGTAATTCGCACGGAACAGTTTCAGGGAATACATCCTTGAATTCAAACAAATCTTCATCGAGAGGATTTGTCTTGAGCGATTCCAACGATTGGGAGTCATATCGCTCAACTCGTGTCTTTTCATCTAGGACACTCTCGTCCACAGATGAACTACTGAGAACTCTCTCGTTCTCAGTGAACACTGTTGCTGACCTTATGTCGGTTACACACTCGTCGTCAGCGACGAGTATGCAGATCTGCTTGACTTTGCCACTACGCAGATCACGCAAGAACCTTTTATGTTCGAGAGTTGGCAACTGAGTGATCTCCGAAGTTAACTTCGGAGGCGCAATCAGATCAAGTGTATAAGCGCCTACACTTGATCCGTTATTGACTATGACATTCAATGTCTCTGTCATTTCCTGGGGACCTATTCCCCTCAGGCCTCGAAGGACTTATTCCTTCGTCTTCCCGGGGACTTATTCCCGCGGGTTTCGGGGAACTTATTTCCGCCGTATTTGTAATCTTGGGACTTATTCCCTTAACTTCCTCTAGCTGTGGTTGCGCAACCACAGCGAGATCCTCTACGAAAGACTCTCCAGTCGAAAATCTAGGATTATCGTTTTGCTTAACCTGAGCGATCGATTGTTTCTCTTCTAGATGTTCCCCGCTAGGGATACATCTTTGTCCCGGTCCACTCGACTTATTCGAGTGGTGGACCTTCGGCGCAGCCTGTATTTCCTCACAGCCGCCGGAACTTTGCTCCGAAGTGTAACTGTTTGCCACACTAAGGTTTTGTGCAGTCGTACTAACGACCGTACCACAAGTGAGGCCATCGCACTCACTCGTAGTACATCCACACGCTTGTGGACGCTCCAAAACGTTCATCAGATGGCCATCTGAACAACAAGCGGCAGGCATCGTTACTGTTCGATGCTGCCAGTTTACTCGTGGTTCGTACCTTCTGAGCCACGGTATTCCACGGATGACATCATATTTGTCATCCAAGTCCAATACGATAAAGTCATCGTCATATTGGGTATCTTCTAGCGTATAGTGGATCTTCACTATACGCTTCATGACGGTTACGGATTCGCCTGTCGCAAGACGTACCGTCATCCTCGTAGGAGGTGTGTCACATTCACTGAAATTGAAGTGACCATCTTCTAGCGATTGGCGTCGCACAAAATTGTTGGACGCCCCACAATCGACTAGAGCTCGAATGGACAACTTATTTGTCACTTCGAGTTTCAAGGTAATGAGTGAGATCTCATTACCTAGAGCAGCAACGCACAACGTTTGTGTGTTGGAGCAACCTTCATCAAGAGGCCTACAAATTCTCTTGACGTTGCTGGACCAGTAGGGTGCTCCGCACCTACTGATCCTGTCCGTTTTTTGACGGTCCATCCCGTTGATGCGTCTCTGCACCAACAGCGGACCCGCGTCCCTGCCCCTTTCTCATGGGTGGACGGTCACGACGCCCAGTGTTGCGAGACACTGGACGAGGGGAGCTACACTCATAAGCGTAGTGTCCTGTCTTCTGACCTCTGTTGCATTTCTGCAACTTCTTGTAGCCTGTAGAGTGAGCCTTCTCGCTCTCTACATAACAGAGTTCCATTGGCTCTGGACCTCCGTTGTCATATCGTTTCGGTTGACGATATGATGTCAAGCTGGCGCGAGCCTGTCTCAGACTGAATTCTTCCTGTTCCGCAATAAAAATGGCTTGTTCTAGTGAATCTAGTTCAAGTCGGAACAGGTGAGTCTTGACGGGACCATCCGCAAGACCCTGCATGAACACCGAAACCAACGTGTGTGTTCATCAACCGGGTTGGAGCTTATACAACTCGTGAAATGTCGTATATGTTGCGCGTAAGCGTGCACATCACGCTTACCTTGTATGAGCTATGAACTCAGCTCTAGGCGGTTCAAACGTTTGTCTGAGCCGCGCCATGAAGACTTCCAACGACCCAAACGCATATGGGTCGTGCAACTTGAGTCCCAATGCCCAAGTCTTGGCACGTCCTGCCAGATTTGACTGGGCAAATGCAACTTGCATATCCCCGTCGTCGATGCGACGCGCCCTTATGGCGTCATCCAATTCGACGAACCATCTCAAGAGGGAGTCCTCTTCGACTCCCCTATACTTAGAGATATCAATCTTCAAAGTCTCGGGTCGACGCGAGTGCATCGACCCACCAGCAGCAGCCTGCTGCTGTCTCAACAGTTCAGGCTGTTGAACACCCTGTTCTCTCAACAACTCTGCTTGTTGAGAGCCTTGTTGGTGAAGCAAGGCTACTTTCTCGCGTTTGGCGTCAAGTTCATTTTGAATGAACTTGGCGATAGTAGCATGTTGGGCATCTCTATTGAGAGCCTCTAGCATGACTCTAACAGCAAGGATGCCCATGGTTGAACCCATCCGTTCAACCGCATCCCATTCGACATCGCTCAAATGGTAGTAGCCGTCACGCGTAGCGTGAAAGCTTTGGTCATCTTCATCATCCGACATATTCATGTTAGATGTGAACGTGGTCCTTGGACGGACTACGAAGTGCTACCAGGTGTAACGGGCACCCTGAAGCTTGTACTGGTGACAGTACAAGCTACTTATTCTGATGACAGAATAAGGCGGTGCCTCGGAACTTCACGTACACTCGTACGTGCAGAGGAAGACGGTAAGAAGAAGCGAGTACTTGGTTAAAGCAAAAAGTAGAGCTGTATTTATCATAGTTAATGTCTGTTAATAAATCACTGTTTATCCTCATTTAACTATGTCTAAATACAAATGTGTAAATCAGTTATCTGCTCACCACTCATTGCGTGCGTCTGTCGTGGCGCGTCTTCGTTGGTTGATATAATGGCCTATATCAACCAATTAGGAACTACTCGTAAGTGCTGCAGAATATTTGTCCTTATGACAATATTCTGAGAATATAACTCTTATAGTTATATTCTATTACCAATTTCTTATAAATTGTTATGTAACGATTCACCCCGTTACAGGGTGCATTTGCTGCTGAGTTCTGTGCGAGGGCCTTCTCCAAAGCTGCACAGAGTCTGCCATCCAAATCTCTTTCACTGCTGAACCTCGGGCGATTGAACGTCTGATGTCGTGGTAACGATACAACCACTGAAAAGCGTCACTGTAAGTGAGCCTGTGCAGTTCAGAAGGATCAAAGTGACGAGTAGCGCCAGTAGGTTAATTTGGTCATACACCACTAGGTTCTAATGGTGCTGGTCGACTTCAGTGTGTAGCGAAGCAACTGTGTCCATGGATTGCTGTACACAACGAGTGTGAGATTGCTCACACTCGAACGATTCTGTGAAGGAATGCAGTGCTGCTTTTTGGCGACGATACAACAACTCAAATATTGCATGAATGAGGAGAGCACAAAAGCTGCGATGTCGTTTGTGCGTGTATCCGGCTAGCAGCATTGACACGGGCGCTGCAATGAACCCGTCAATGATAGATCGTTGCCATTAGTATCAACACATCTTTTGCAGTGCAGTAGGCGGCGTGACATGCAAAGTGCTTGCAACAGCACATGCATTGGCTTGGCAGACAGCCTTTGTGGCAGAAGATCCGAGTACCACTCGCAGGTCGCTGTAGCTGCGAGGTCAATCCATTGTATTTCTACTCTTACAGTCGGTACAAAAACATCAGTTTTCCAACAAGGTGCCAGGAATTGCCAACGGACCAAGAGGTTGCAGTCACCAGTCGATACACAGCATTCCTCGCGCAATACCTGTATCTCAACGGTCTTCCGTCATTTTGGCTGCACGATACCTACAGTCACGCTTTCCACGCAATATACAATTCTAATCTTCAACGTGCAACATTCGTTCGTCTTTCCATCACTTCGTGAGGCATGCGAAACGATCGAAGCGGAATAACACCATCTCGTCGTGACCGAGAATGTCGAGTCAGGGGAGATAAGGGTGTGAGTGACAAGGCAGCTGCGTCAACAGAAGTTCATCCGATGTTGGCCATGATGAAAGATGTGATAGACATGGAGTGCTCCGATGAACACGAGGCCAGCAAAAAGAGAAAAGAAGCTGACCGTATTGGATGGTGACGTAGTTTTTGCCTACGTATCATCGTTCTTTCGACTCCAAACGGGTGTCTGACTTCACTACTTGACATGTCTACCCAGCTTTTTGTCAGTCAGTGGTGAAGAATTTGCAGTCGCGTCGTTGTGCTGTAAGCATTATCATGCGCGACACTGCATATTTTAGCACATCCATTCGAAACACTAGCATTGGTGTGCCGACAGTGCAGCAGCTTGTAGCCGTACTCAAACTCGTGTCGAATGAAACCGGTTTGGGCTAGGTCCTTGATCTGCATGTTGAAACTGCTGTACGTGTGGAGGTGCCATCACTAGGCAAGGCTTGGCCAGGGACGGAATGTCCTCGGGCAGGTGAATGTATCTAATGGAAGGAAGGTTTGATATTGTAATAGTGAGATGGCTGGACAAGCTAATTCTGCGAGAAGCAGAACGACAGTGTGCCGATCGGCATAGCAGAGAGACGTCACGTATCGTTGGTGCATGAGAACACGATAGGCTTGCTCAGCACTTGCAACACAGAGACAGACATGTGGCTCAATCGTTCGCTCGTTTGTACGGTGTCAGGTGCTTGGATGACGTAGCGCAGAGGAACGTGTTCTGTATCAAAAACAATACATACGAAACATTTATGACGGAAAGAAATGTAGAGTGAACCATTGCAACTTGTTATGATCGAGACTTAGCACTTGTCGCATGCAATGAAGCCGACCAATGGAGAACTATCAATGCCTCAAGGCAGTCCAAATGTTGCGGGCGAAGTTTCGTTATTGCGGTGGTCCGCAAACTTAATCTTTGCAGCAGTCATGACGTGGAAATTTTGGTTCGCACCCTCGGCTGCATCACCCGCGGAGGAGTGATCGTTTTGGCTTATAGCACAAAACTTCGCAGCAATCATTACCAGGGGCAAGGTTACAACTCGTTGAGTAGCCTGGGCCACACTTTATATTGGGTGGGCAGATAGAAACTTCGCCAAAATCGGCACCGGAAAGTAAAGCAGCGATGAAGATGGAACCCACTGACTTAAGTTGCATCCTTGTGGATAACAGATGGTGGAAGAGTGGTCTTGTTTGCTTCTCTGTGCGTAGCAAAACACGGAATGACTCTAGAACTAAAAAATGCGCTAAAGTTGAGTGCTTTACGCGGGTAGTCGAGACCTTATGACACAATGGATGACGTGGTTTAAGCATTCAATAAAGTAAGGAAATTAAATAGCAGGAGCACAGTGGGGGCATTGCGCAAACACGAGAGAGAGGAACAGACCGTCTATTATACGATATTATGGTGTACAAGACGTCTGGAAAGACCTAAGCCAGGATAGCAACGCCGGTGTCGGATGATCCGGTGGTTGGACGTGACTCACCCATGTGTGCGGTGCTCTAGATGGGGCCTTGGTGAGCAGTCCAATGTATTGCATCAGACGAGTCCCGGCCACCTGGGTGTGTAGCTGTCTACGCTCTCGCAGCGCTAGCGTGTGTAATTGCCGAAAACTTAAAACTGTGCATTCGTGGATACATCCCGCCAAAGTGACGGAATGCCCTTCGTGAACGACCCGATTGCGTTGCACCCATAACGTCGTGATACATATAGAACAGAATACCCACCACATCCGCTTCCATTGACATACATATGCCTCCATCGAATGTCCAAACGCGCTCAGCAGCCGCCGAGAAATGATCGGATGTAACGGCGGGGACTTTCGTGACATGCAAAAACTCACATAACGCTGCACGCTGACCGGCATCCCCGAGCATCCGGTCCAGTAGGTAATGAGTGCCTGCCAGCAACCCTGGGCTACTGGACAACCCCAAAAGATGTGATCCAAAGTCTCTTCTCTGCCCGTGACAGACCGAAAGTTTTCGACAGCAGTTATTTAGCTCCCGACCTGGGCTATAGCAATTGAGCTGATGCAGCGCCATTCGGTAGTAAACCCACACTTGATACTCGGTGATCGCGTTGCGGTGGCGCCACAACTCTCGCGGTGTCTGATTGCGGGCCGCACAGTATCTTTCGTTGCGTTCCGCCGATTGCTGTAACCGGAGGAGAACACCATTGAGCCCTTTTCCAAGGTCCCCTTTAACCCGCTGGTAGGGTTGTCTTTTCAGATGACGAAGCGCTTGGCGACTAGATATAGCGTCAGGAACTACCCACGGAAAACCGTGGATGGCGGGATGTGCCGCTACAACGAGGCCATTGTCCCGTTGAGCTTGGTGGAGGACCTTTATATCCGACCAGCCGTCCGAGTAGGTTACCGACGTCTCGGCTATCGTCCAGTGGAAGCCGTCTGGCTGCCGATGCAGGACTATTGTCCCCTGTGTGAGACCCGTTGATAGGGTCGACACCCCGTGCACTGTCCCGGCATCCATCACGAACCAGCTATACGGCACCCTGAGCTCCGGCTGCTGCCGGAGGGTAACTGCACTCTGCACCTCGCATTTCTCAGCGATGCGTAACGTCGGGCTACCGAAAACAATCGCGAGCGCCCAGCGCATTAGTTTCCGATCCGAGTGATGAGCCGGCGCCCCTGGAGACAAAGGACCTCTAAACGAGTACACGCCAGGTCCCGTCCGCTCGATTTCCAAGTCGGCCAGCGCACATGACCGAAGGCATTGCGCAAACAAGACAAGGCTACAGTGAAGACCAGCAGCCCTCGTTTGTGCAGCCTGATTATAAAAAGAGCGACACGTGCGTCGACGAGATCTAGCGTCAGGATGGGGATGTCAGTACAACTCAATGAGAGGTAAAGAAGCGCAACGTGTCCTGGAAACAGTGGTATCACCACGTACGAAAGCCTCAAATTGCGCAGACAATGCGAGGCTACCGTGGGTTGCGATCAGATGGGTTGGACCCCATTCTGTACGATTTGACATTTTGTCTCATTTTACTCACAAAGAATCACGCCACTGCCTAGCTGCTTCACTCTTTTGATCAGTTGTTTTCTATTTCAAACAGCAAGTGTGCCGCCATCCTTTCCAGAACATGACATCGTTCCTTTCAGACCTTTACATTCGACGATTTAGTCTGACCCGAAGCAGCTGCGTCGGGCAGTTGGCACGAATCTCCTTAGTTGAAGCAGCCACAATGCTGGATACATTGGACGCCAGCTTCAACCGATTTGATCAGAGAATGTTCTCGTAACCTTCTGGACGCGCTGTTGAGGAATCTGAAAGGTGCTTCAAGCGTCGGCGCTCGTCGTTGAATCGACGAGGCCCTTGCCGTCCTGGCGTTCATGACTAAATCGTTGTCTACAACTCGAAATGGGTCGACGGGCTTGGGGTGGTAGATTTAATGCGCAGTACAGCAATGTGTGGATTTTTATATTTGACTGCTACCACAGGTATCGAGTGCTACGTGAGGCATCAGAATGAACATTGCAAACCATTTGCCTGGAATTGAGATTAATGAGATCATTGTCGGACTTCGACGTTGAATGTGTACGTTGCGATATCGAGTTTGGAGGCCTCGAATACAGATAGTAAAGGCGCAGCATTTGCAAGATGCGATTGAGAAGTAGAAAGCGTTCAAACGCTCCAAGCATAATTAGAACAAAACGTTTCGTGCAGTGGTGGTAGGCGTTGCAATCCTAGTCTAAACGAGGATAATCATGTGAGCGTACCCTTAGTGAATGTAGCAATCGTCGTCTATGCAACGCTATCAGATACTTGACAATCGCCCATTGATCATGGGCTGTTACCGTTGATCCAAGCCATGCTTGCGTTCAGCATCCCCTATCTTCGCAGCAGCAAAAAGACCTGTACGACCAATGTGTCCCTCGTCCGACAAGCGCCTGTTCTCGTTTCTTCATCCAGTCGTTGGTCGTACACACGACGAACAGTCCAGATGGCTACAGGTCTCGGTCAAGTCCTGTGAGCCACGTCACTTATGCGAGAGACCACTCGAGTGACGTCGCGTTCGTCCTGGCCAATCAAGTCGCACTCAAGTCCTCAGTGCGCTCCTCAAGTCCATCCTCGGAGCTCCTCCTCACTCGTGATTGTCCGGAAGAGCATCAGCACTCGCCCTTGTCCCGCTATCAGTGCGTTAGTGCGAGCCAAAGATGTGGCAAAGGATAAGATCCTCGAGACGCCAGTGCTTAGATCCATTGCGGTCTCTGGTCGAGGCTACACTAGTGTGTGAGCAACGACGACAATGACACTGACCTCATCGAAGCAGAAGCTACGATTGAGCGTCGGCTCGTGGCTTAGGATCAGGCGGATGCAGTGTGTAGTTAGAGCTCCGGAAAGACGTAAATACCAGAGAGAAAGAGTGTGTACATATGACGAGGCGCTGCTGGCGCTGGTGTTGGTGTGAGGCGTCAAACAGCGCGGGGACCGACACGCGGAGACACGTGCTGTCGTCGAATCCTTGTCTCGAACTGCATCTTACCTCCTCTTTGTCCCTATCTGATCCAAAACAGCAGACCATCTCTTCTCGCTCGTGCACAATTCATTTAGTGGCATCGTTGTCATCACCGACTCGTTATTGTTCACCGCCTTCGCATCTGCTGCATCATCAGGTTTCTGTTCGCACGTGTCCAGAAGCCAACGGGTTGTCCTACTTCCGCCCTGGATGAAGAAGTGTTTGGAGCGCTTCACTGCGTCTTCGGAAGATCACACGCTCCACGATTTTCTTGACGCTGCGTGACCGAGTCCAACGACCGTTTTCCTGTTGACAGTGTAGCTTGTCCTGCAACAAGAGCGACAGCGAGGGTCACATCAGTGCATCTCCAAATGACTTGCTGCCCTTCATCGGAGTCTGAGTTGTAGCTACCATCTCTTGAACTTGAGCATGTTTGAGTTCCGTTTCCTGCTTGATTTTCTTCTCTGTCTTGTCTTGGGTGGTGACGCCTTTGCATTATATACCCCTTAGAATTCTGTTGCCAGAATAAACTCACATCAAAGACCGGAATGTTGGGAAGGTGGCTTCAGTGGACTTAGACGGGCGACTAACAAGCTTTCAAAAGCTGGAAGTAAGGAGAGCGAGATGAGGAGGTGGAGGAAGAAAAGGGGACGGGAGAGAGACGCGTGCACGACTTAGTTCTGTGAGACTTGCGGGTGTGTGCACCATGGAAGGGGGAGGGTTACGTGTCGACAAAAGTAAAAGATAAAGACTTCGGACTAGGACCTAGTCGATTAATTCAGTTTCCTTGCTGACGCGTTGTGCACAGCCGTTTTCTGTTGTTCCTTCCTGTAGTCAACGGAATGGCAAGTGCTTTTGACGTTGCGTGTAGCGGAGCTACACAGCTCCTTAAGTCAGAGGAAGACTTAACGCTCTACGAGCAACTTAGTTCCAAAGAACTAACGACTTTACGAGTCAACAAGCTTTACAGCTCCAGATCCCTGTTCCAGGGGGACCTAACGATTCAGTGAATCGACAGCACTCAGTGCTCAAGAGTAGCTACCTCAAGGAGGTGCCGCTAGCTCTTAGTGATCAGTGATCAACGATCAAGACGGCTCGCAAGCCACGTGTCCTTCAGATCAAAATAGGAACTGATTATATTTTTGTTAAATCCTATAGAATATCTTAATCCTACTCAAAGATCTTTCGTACCTACAGGCTAATACTCATCAGCCCCTACAAACCAATAAGATATTCTATATCACCTTCACAGAAGGGTACCCTCAGGTTTGTAACACCTCTGGTACAAAGTACCGTGATATCGTGCAACCCCGTTACACCCTCCCCCACCAGACTGACGTTTGCCAAAACGTCAATCGAACTTGTGTTCTCAGCGAGAACAGTGCGCGTACGGTGAACCTCACGGTAACGTACGCTCCAGCACGATGTCCTCATCACCAAACGAGTCAAAGGCTCTGTGTGACTACATCGGGATAGAGGGGGAGGTGGACTATGGTAGCGATACCAGTGTCCGCGGTGATACAGGGACAATGTCCGGCTCACTGATGCCTAAGGCACGACTTTCGAAGACCCCAAATCCGTTCTCTGAACGTGGAGGTGCGAGCGCGCCACCAGCGCAGCATGCAGCATCTGGGTCTGATGAGACTAGCATCACGGACCCGCTCGATGAGCAACAACATTTGCTTGTTCAGCAAGAAGAAAACGCTCAGCGTTGTGTACAAATGGCTGCAACCCTTGAACGCCAGCGTGACTATGTGTTCACCCCGCTTAGTGTGAAGGAACGTCTACGTTAAGCGGCCGGTTAAACGTTGGCAACGTGGGTCATTGGCCATGGGCCCAAGACTCCTGAGGAGGTGGTGAGCTGTCAGGCACTTCGTAAGAGGTACCTGGAGCCGCACCTAACGACTCAAAGTCAATTCAAGGCACGCCTTGACATGCAAGCACGTGGTGCACCGGTTCCACCGATGAAGGGTATACCCATTTTCCTGCTCGCAGGCGAAACAGCGAGCGAAGAAGACGATGCCTTTGTTCACTGGGTGCACTATGTGCGTCGCCTCAGCAACGTTTTTGCTCTAAGGGCTAGTGCCCATGCGGCGGATGTGCGTCTCGAACGCAAGCTTCGGTATGATTATGCCAAGCTTAAGGCCAGAGGCCAAAATGCGCTAGCGCACGCGCTATGCTTCGGCTACTAAGGAAGCCGCGAGTGCTGGTCAGTCTGTGGCCAACAACCCGCCAACCCGCACCACTAGAGGTGGGGAACGGCCTCGGCCTCGAGATGACCATGGCCACGATGCTCAAAAGCCTCCAAAGCATATGGGCAGTCTTGCCGAAGGGGTACCTCAAATTCCCATGAGTTTTTAGACTCAGGGTACCCACGCCACTTTACCAGATACTGGTATTGGCCCTGACGACGACGTCATTTCAGTAGTCTCTCGACATGAATTTGACGACACCCATGCTCATCGAGCAAAGTCGGTGGCGGCCGGTGTACCGGTGGAGGCCCACGAGACATTGGTTCTCGAAGTGAAGGGTCTTCAAGAAGCCTTGGGTAAGTCCCAGTGCATGCTGGATGCGATGCAAAGCCGCCTTCAGGCATTATAGAAAGCTCAAACTCGGATCTGGGCCCAGTTGGACTTGCTAATTCGCCTACAGCAATCCGGGGCAGTGCCCTTGTCGTCGGCGCAAGCGCCTCCAAGTTCACATGGGAAGGATCCCGGTACGGCTTAAGTAAGCCTACGTCGAACTCTGGATGTGTGCGCAATTTGCGCGGAAGGTTTAGCGTATACGCAAGTCCCTTCTTGGTCGTGACCGTAAACGGTCCAATAAAGCGTGGACGCAACTTTGCCTTAAAGACCGCAGACACTACATTTAAAGGTAGATTTTTAGCATTGAGTAGTACTTGGTCTCCGACCTCATAACGTTCAATACAATTTCTGCCTTTGGCATCAGCTTGTTGTTTTTGGGTATCTTGGCTATCAGCCATTGCGTCACGCACATGTCTTAGGACATTTAATCGCGTTGCGAGAAACTCGCTTACCTGTTTTTGAACAGTAGCAGGGCTGATATCAGCAAGCCGATCGGCAACCTCTCCCCCACCAAGCCCTGATTCACGTAGTGATAGCGTTAACGGAACGCGAGGGTGAGTGAGACCGTTTATATAGAACGGAGTAAAGCCTGTTGAGGCATGAACAGCGTTATTTAACGCAAACTCAACAACAAGGAGCATTGAGCTCCAACGCCTAGGCGTATCAGCGCAAATACTGCGCAAAATGTCATTGATGACGCGATAAACACGCTAAGTTTGACCGTCGGTCGGCGGATGATCCGTTGTGGACATGTCCAACCGAGTGCCAAGCACCTTGAAGATAGACTTCCAAAACTTCCCAGTGAAGCGGGGGTCTCTATCAGAGATAATTGCCACAGGCAAGCCATGTTGGCGAAACACACGGTCGATAAACAGCTTTGCTGTACCCTCAGCATCAATGCTATCCGGCACAGCCGCTAAGTGAGCCATCATGCTCAATCGGTCAACAAAGACCAGAATACCAGTGTTGCCTTCCGAATCTTTCGGTAGGCAAAACACAAAATCCATGCTCATGGACTCCCAACAACCAGTGGGTACTGGCAAACTAGCCAGCGGCGCCGCCGCATGTGCCGAGGGTTTTACCCGTTGACACGTTTCGCACGTACGCACATATGTGCGCACCCACTTATATAGTTTGGGCCACCAATAACTTTGGCTCACCGAGCTATAAGTCTTCTCACGACCGAGATGACCACTTAAAGCAGTATCATGTACCTCATAGAGGATCCGATACTTTAATTACTCATCATGAGGTACAACGATACGAGAGTTGTCCTCAATATCCGTGCGATAGCACAACAGGCCATTATCGATGGAATATCGATGTAGCCTCGCACGTAAACGTGCCGACAATTCTATGTCCGAGTCTTTAAACTCATCGCTCCCAAGAGCACGTAGCAAAGCTACACACTGTTCATCCTTGGCATATGCCGCACGGATTAATTCAGTGACCGACGACGACAGAGTCGTAACATGAGCAAGCTCATAGTCAGGTCGACGCGATAGCGCATCAGCCAAAGCATTTTTTTTGCTTACCTGGCTTGTTCTTCACCTCGAAGTTGTATTCGGCAAAGAAGGAAAGCCAATGAGCCATTATCTGTGAGAGATGAGGCGACTGTGTCGCAGTGCGTAATGACGCATGATCTATATAGATCACAAACGGCTTTGAGCCAAGCAGATGGACTCTAATTTGACAAGAGCGTACTTCGTATCAAGTAGCTCTTTTTCATGAACTGGATAGTTCTTTTCAGCAGCTTACAGCTGCCAAGACTCGAATGAGATGACGCGTTTGCGTCCGTCAACATCTGTTTGTAACAGAGCACTGCCTATGGCAATGTCAGATGCGTCACAGACGACACTGAAAGGCCGATCAAGATTGGGCAAAGCCGATATTGGCGCATGAAAGAGACTTTCCTTAACTGCTTCAAAAGCATTATGTTCGGTGTTACCCCAACACCAATCCATATCCTTTTTAAGAAGATTAGACAAGGCCGAGCCATATATGCGTAATTCGCACTGTACTTATGTAAGTAATTGGCAAGGCCAAGCCACTTACGCAAGTCCTTTTGGTTCTTGGGGACTGGCCAATCGACTATGGCTTTTACCTTAGTGGGATCCGCTCGAAGGCCTCGCTTCCTAAGGAAGCACCTTAAAAAGGGAATCTCTTCTGCACCAAAGATGCACTTCGATGCGCTCGCATACAGCTTATTCTTCCGCATACACCCGAGCACCGCTCGTAAATGATCGATGTAGTTATCCACATCTGATTGCCCATTTATTGCACGACTATGGACAAAAATGTCATCAAAGCACGTTTGTGCATAGCCTCGATGAGGTCTGAATAGTTGCGTTACCAACCGGTTACATGTATCCGGGGCGTTAGATAGCCCTTGTGGCATAACGAGCCACTCTCAGAGCATACCGCTCGGAGTACTCACCGCTGTTAGCGGAATATCACTTGCTCGCATGAGCAGTTGGTAATAACCATCGACTAAGTCGAGTGCACTGTACAATGTATTTCCTGCCATATTGTTCTGAAGAACATCCTTACTTGGAATAGGCGTCTGCAACGGTATAGTGGCTGCATTAAGCTTATTATAAGCATGCACAATACGCCACTTGCCATTTGGCTTTTTGACACAAAATGTCGGTGTTGAATGGGGAGACTTGCTCTCACGAACCATTCCATCCGCGTGCTTAGCACGAAAGAATTCGTCAATGACGTCACACAGTTCTTTAGGCAAAGGCCACTGCCGTGTTACACAGTATTTAGTTCCAGGAACTAAGTCAATGACGTACACCTCTATCGGGAGGTAAGGCAGAAGGTGGGTTGTGACACACCACATCTTGAAAATTCCTTAACTAAAGGATAGAACGGATCCAAAGTATCTTTAAGGATCGGATATTCACTTCGTGCACTAAGTGCCGCCTTTGTATCCTCTAGGACAGACTCACCCATTAACGAGGAAGAGTTCAACTCAGTATCAGGTCTAATGACCGCTAACTCGGATAACTCTCCTGCCTTCAAGGCCTGGCTAAACTCGCCATCAGATATTTTGTCTAGCTCACAAAGAGCGTCCACAGATGGAAGGGTTTCAAGGCAAACACTGCCATCAACCTGACCAGTCACTCCATCAACAAATATATATAGTTTATCAATATTGTCACTATTGACTGTGTGGACGCCTGGCGCTTTACAGTTGCTACCCGGCGTCTCGATCGTCTCTTCGATACCTTACACCCCTTAGGGGTCGGGACAATATTGTCCCCATGGTTACTACCAACCATAGTACGCTCTATACGAGAGCTTATGTCTTGACCGACATCCGGTGAAGTGTTACATAACTCGAACACTTCACCCAGTGTATTTAAACGTGCCACTCCATGTGTATTATGCGGGCCTAGCCTTAAATTTAACGGCGTCTCGCCAATAAGGTCATTACCGACATTAGGTGTGGTGCCCTCACGGCCGTCCACACTATACGGCGTATCGCCAACAATATCATTACTGACATTAGGTGTGGTGCCCTCACGGCCGCCCACACTATACGGCGTATCGACAACAACGCCGTTACCGACGTAAAGCGTGGTGCCCTCACGGCCGCCCACACTGTACGGCGTATCGCCAACAGTATCATTACTGACATTAGGTGTGGTGCCCTCACGGCCGCCCACACTATACGGCGTGTCGCCAACAACGCCATTACCGGCGTTAAGCGTGGTGCCCTCACGGCCGTCCACACTATACGGCGTATCGCCCAACAATATCATTATTTACATTAGGTGTGGTGCCCTCACGGCCGCCCACACTATATGGCGATTCGCCAACAACGCCATTACCGACGTTAAGCGTGGTGCCTTCACGGCCGCCCACACTGAATGGCATATGGCCAACAATTTCATTACCGACATTAAGTGCGGTGCTCTCACGGCCGACCACACTATACGGCGTGTCGCCAACAACGCCATTACCGGCGTTAAGCGTGGTGCCCTCACGGCCGTCCACACTATACGGCGTATCGCCCAACAATATCAATATTTACATTAGGTGTGGTGCCCTCACGGCCGCCCACACTATATGGCGATTCGCCAACAACGCCATTACCGACGTTAAGCGTGGTGCCTTCACGGCCGCCCACACTGAATGGAATATGGCCAACAATTTCATTACCGACATTAAGTGCGGTGCTCTCACGGCCGACCGCACTCGGTGTAGTTTCACGTGCCACCACACACACATCAAAGGAATCACATTCTTGATCACTAGGCCCTAGGCCAACCATGCTTTCAGCATGCAGTGACTCGTTGTCACAACGAGTAACACTCAACGGAGTACGTGCCGTTTCACTAATTTTAGACGAGCTAGGCTCGAAACTTATGTTTGAAACATTAGAGTTAGATAACTCAGACATTCCAATATCCAGCACATCGACATCTTCTGTCAAAGGCTCGCCCCAATAGCGCTTCTGTTGCCTAGCGAAGGTGGATTAATGACTCTCCAAAACTTTGCTAGGAACATTGCGCGTAGCGCCTAAGGTCTCAGACATCCAATCAATCCATGGCTCATGGCGTTCAATCCAAGTCATACCTAGGATGAGATCATATCTC